TTTAAGTACTTCAATAATTATTGCAATTAATAATTTAGAATATTTGAATAAAAATAATTATTATTAATATTAAACCTATCAATATTTATGATTATTATGATTATATTCTATTAATATTAAAGTTCAAATTAATCGTTTAATTCTTCCATGGAACACAAAAGCATAAGCTGTATAGAATGTTGACGCTTCTTAAAATGTAACACAGAACATTTCTTGTGCATAGTTCTCAAATCTTTTTCATGTTTGCCCAAATTTCAACATTTTACACACAACCGCTTCAGAAAACTTGGAATGTACTACAGACCTCTTTTCTGTCACTGTTGGAGTTTGACAGTCCTTGGTCACCATTCACTTTCATTATATGGAAAAGATTCAAATTAACATCCTGCCTTTCCCTTTTGTGGTGTACAGAAGGAAAAAAATATTCTAAAAGATATGAGGGTAAATTATTTCGATAATAGAACTGTCCCTTTAAGGCATTTTTAAATATGCTTTATTAAAGCCATTTTTGCTAATAGGGACCATAAGCTGTTCCCCAGCATGTAGGTCATTACAGGTTGTACTATCCTTGTGGGCGAAATTTGATCCCAACAATGATGGCAAAAGCTGACCCTACACACATCCTCCACACCGTATACAGATAGACACAACGCTGAGGAAGTTTTTGCCCTCTCTCCAGGGAACAGATCTGAAACACAGCAGAAATACTATATACACAACATAGGTGAAACAGGAATCATTCAAAAAGGGTTTCATCCATCCAGCTTTTCCTCTATTCATCTAATCATTTCCTTAATGAGCAAGGTGGTTCGGAGCACAATGTGAAAAAGCAGTTTTTTCTGTCTCATAAAAGACAATCATTACTCGTTTCTCTCTGGTGCTCTTTGAAGTAAAAGGTCAAGTTGTTCTGTCTGTGTGAAGGACTGCACTGTGTTTGAGTAATTATCTCAGACTGGATTTGCCAGAGTGTTGGACTAATTATTTTTGCTGTTAGAACCCTAACGAGCAGCAGAACTGTAGGCGTGAGCTGGAGGCTGCTGTCAGAACATGATCAGTGCTTACAAATGATTACTAACAACCAGACAATCTCCTAAATTTTGCACTAAAACACCTATTCAGCCAAGCTCTAAATCACAAAACACCCAGCTGTGCTCCTAATGTCACCTTTGCTGTAAGAACAAGTTGAGTGCGGCTGAACTAAAGACCGGTCACACGAACCTTTCACATTTGATTGCTGTCTAAAGATGGAGGTAAAATGTCATTTTTTATTTTTCTTTCATATGAGACTGTAGACATTGAGTAAAACTTATAAAGTATGGATGGATGATTTCTCCCAAGACACTTTTACCTTTCTTAGCAACAGCAGACTTATCACAGAATTCCGAGAATCAGTTCCTACTTATTAGACATCACCATTTATACTGGAAGGTTTTTTTTCTTTATGCAGCATATTCCAAAACAATTTTATTTGTAGCAAAACATTAAATGCCATTAAGTGTTTGAGAGCACACAGAATTGGATGCTTAAATGTCAACAAACACTTGAGTCACATAATGGCAATTACGCACCCGGAGGATAACGGAATGGACTGCATAGATAAATGACTGAGAAATGGTTCAGATTCTTTCAGCAAGGGAATGCCAGTTTTAGCGGTGCATTATTCTCTTACAGCCTCTGTCAAAAACGCTTTAATTCTCTGCTGTGGTTGAACAAAATGCATCAATTGAACTGAAGTTCATTTAGTATGATTAAAAGCCCCAATAGTAACATTATGCGAGCAAAAGTTACAAGATGTGAAAAAGTATACAATTATTGATTTCAAAAATATCCAAAATGCCTTTAAATAGCCATGCATTGCTTAGATTGCAAAGCAGCTCACAATTTGCGTGCATGAGGTTGTTGCTCTCGACCTGTAGAGTGAATCTACCACTAAGTGTTCCCAGCTGCTCTCTTTTCTGCCTCTCTCACAAATACACTTTTACACGTTTCTAACCTGTGCACAGTCACGAGGAAGAAACTTTTTTTGTTAAAATATACTAGGCTGTGAACATGCAAGCACACATTCGAACTATTTCAAGGAGTGGAACAGCTGTAATCATGTTAGAATTGACTGGAAAGTGTAATCTTCAGCTTTAAAGCATGCAAACACTCTCACTATGAGGATGGTGTGTAAATGCTCTGCAGGGATTACAGTACAAGAATGGTCACTTATTCTCACGGTCTAGTGCATAAGTGAGACATGCAAGGAATAAGCCCTCACATGTACAAAACTTCAGCTATATGCATACTTGCAAATATAATCACAGTGCAGACAGAATCTCACTCATTCTCCAACTGCACTTTAATTCACACATACACTGTAAAACTTGAAAAGCAAAATGGTTTTCACAGTATATGTCTTTGAATCTTTAAGGTATTTTTTCCTTACTCTATTGACAAATTGTTTGAAGCATAAACACTTGATAGTTTAAGGTTAAATAAAAAAAATTGTCAATGGGGAAAGAAAAATAATATGATATATTATAGATGATATAGGTAGGTATTAAAAGTTTTAGGTGTATTTTCTGAAAATTACAAGTCATAACATCAAATTAATGCATACTTTTATCAAATACATTTGAGTTTCCCATGACCATGTGAATCCTGCATAAATAATTTGGGGGAACAGACTTATGGAAACACACTATCTCTCTTATTCTCAATCAGAACATCTCATACAACAGTTTCAGATGGGAACAAAATTTGGTGGCATCATTACGGCAGAACTTCATTTAGATGCTGTTAATTGGCATTGATGTACTCTAGCCATAGTCCTCTATGTTCCCATGGTAAAGGGGGCCCAAGAGAGCTGATTGGTGGACTGGAATACTAGGAGAACACTGAATCAGAGGACAGCACAGGTGGGCTCAACTCATTATGCAAGAGTCAATGCTTCAAACCTGTATGGAAACCACATCAACAATATTCATTATTAAACTTTCAGAGACACTAAAACGCTTATACAAAAGAAGTACACATTGCAGGGAATAAAATAAACGTACACCCTGAAAGAAACCTTTAAACTATCCACACAAACCCACACAGAAGCACACCCATACTCCTCAAGCTGTGAATCTAAACCATGTCAGCTATCTCATCACGCTTGTAGGTGCCAGGGCAGCCATCTTGTCTGAGCGTTTTGAGGGTGTATGTGAGAACCCCCTGCCGTGCAGACATGTTCAAATGCTTCTCTATATAACAACCAGACACGCATTCCCTCCATAAACGCTCAGTATCGGTTCTCATGACTGACACCAGTCCACAACATGCTGGGGATCCTATTCTTAGCCTCCAGTGGCTCTTCGCTGAATTCTAGCATGTTTGGGTGGATTCTGTGACTCATTTGTTTTTATCTCTGTGCTGGAATGTTGAGTCAGGAATTGGACATCGGGAAAAAGCAATATTAGGATGAGAGTAAAACTCTCTCAAGATGTAAATCAAAATGATGAAAAAGAAACATTTCAGAATCTCAGTTCACTTTTCAGACACCTGTTTTGCTAACTGCTTGCACAGGAGCACTGCGCTTTTAAGCAAACTTGAGCAAATAGAGCAGTTGTGAGCAACACTGTAATGCAAGGACAAATAGTTATTTTACACTATAAAATGCAATGTGGTCACATGCGATTCCAAGTGCCTCCAAATGTGCTGCAAGTAAGCCCATTTACAACTGTATTTATCACTGACCACATGTAATTGGATCACTGTGAAGAGGTTCAGAGACAGAGAGGAATAGAGAGGACAAGAAAGTTAGAGACTGTGTGAATTATTTCATTTGAGGACGGAGTGCTTAAAATAAAAATCTTATCTGTAGCTCAGTCAACATCTGAGTTACTCCTCCACCCAGGAAAGACTGTTTGAGAATATATCTCTCATGTCTACAAGCTTGTAAGTCCTTATCATAGTGAGAATGGAAAAAATCACCACTATTACAAAAATAGACAGATGGTTGGTATATGTGGGACAGTTGCTTCCAAGCAACCAATAAAATCTGCATTTCAGAAAACACACACACACACACACACACACACATACATATATATATATATATATATTATAGAAATGAATAATTAATGTCAAGTACAAAGAGTGATGATACTACCCCACCACTGGCACCAGTGGTAAAACAATCAATAAATACATTTTGCTTATGAATTTTTATGCTACCCTCATCAATCTCGCCTCCATGTGCAGACAACCTGCCAATTCACAATCTAAATTTAATCATTTACCATCAATTAACATGATTAAAAATTAAAAATAAATAAAATAAAATGATACTTTCTTACCTCAAATTTATCCTGTAAATCCTTCATATTTTTACATGCACAACGTCTATGGTCACCTCAGGAGGACAGTGTATGTTACTGATTTATCACCTGTATTGTACGTGTGTTTGTGAAATATATGATTCTGATTATGTTGATGTAAATATTTTGGTTGCGCCATAATTATCTAAAACACATACGCGTGAAGTTTGACATGCATTTTATTTAATTAAGACAAAATAACACTTTTGAAGAGGAACTGATTTTTGCTGTCCAGTGAAAACACCACAAGCAGCTTGACGGTCACATTGCAGCACAGTAGCTTATAGCTAGAGTGGCCATATGTGCCGTTCATACGGGACACGTCCTGGCCAGGATTTTTATATTGCCTAAAACATCCAAAGTAGTTTGACCAATAACATGCAGGTATTGTATATAATCGACCAATCGTGGCGTGTGAGAAGGTGAGATCTACAGAGAAGGATCAAAGCGATGCAAATACGTGCATGTGTTTGTTCGTTCGTTCGACTGCGCACCGATAATTGTATGACACCAAAGTACCGCGAGAGCGATTCGAAAGCATAAGGAGCCGTCTGCTCTGCTCTCTATAGCTCTCGTGAATGTCATACAACGCACAGTGCAAACAGCCAAAACCTGGATATTTTAGACAATATAGAAATCCTGGCAAGGACGCGTCCCGTAAAAATGGCCCGTATGGTCACCCTATTTATAGCGCACAATGACCATAATAACACAAGCTCTCGTGAAACTTAAAGTGCTTTTCGAGTTTCTTTCACTTTTGTCCTAAGTCAGGCTTTTCTTCTTCACGGGCTCCTTCTCAGTTCTCTGCGCTCCTAAAAGGAGCGGGATGTATGTATCGCTACGCGACGCGCGCATGGCACCTTCCCACGTGTTCCCGGGCGCGTCACACCTGCGCGAGGAGCTTTTCACTGCGAGTTCGAGCGCGCGCAGCTCCATGAGTTCCAACTCGTGCTTGGCGGCGGTTTCCAGCACCTTCTGCTTGTTGTAATAGATGACGAAATTGTTGATGATGGGATGGATTGGCAGCGCTATAGCTATCACCCCGCACAGAAAGCTGATGGCCGCGTTGCACCGGCCAAGGGTGGTTTTTGGGTAGATGTCCCCATAGCCGACGGTGGTCATGGTGATGATGGCCCACCAGAAGGACTGCGGGATGCTTCTGAACAGCGTCTCCGGGTGGCTCTGCTCCATGGTGTACCCGAGAGCGGAGAACACGAAGATGCCCACTCCCATGTACATGAGGAGCAGCCCCAGCTCCTTGAAGCTCCGTTTGAGCGCGTACGTGAGCGTCTGAAGGCCAGAAGAATGGCGCGCCAGCTTGAAGATCCGCGCAATGCGCATGATGCGGAGCGCCTGCACCGCCTGCTGCACGTTAACCAGCTCCATCATTGTCGTGCCGAGATACGTGAGAACCAGCACCACGTAGAACGGCAGGATGGCCAAGAAGTCTATCATGTTCATGAAGGAGAGCGCGAAGCGCACCTTGTTTGGAGATGATGCGAGGCGCAGCACGTACTCTACCGTGAACCAGCCGACGCACGCCGCCTCGATAGCATCTAGGGTCGGGTGCTCAACGCGGTTCCCCTCGGAATTCTCCACCTGGAGGTCCGGTATGGTCCCGAGACACATAACCACAGATGACACTAGTATGAACAGAAAGGACACAACGGCAATTACGCGTGCGGGGAGCGAGGACTCTGGTTTCTCCATGAGCTTCCAGAGGAACTTCTGCCACCTTTCAGTGCGACTCACGTTAGGGTCACGGTCCAGATCATCCAGGATCACTTGAACCTTGTCTGCAATCTCTGCCAACTCTTCCTCCTTCTCAGTCAAGTTACTCTTGCAGCATTCGTCTAAGTAGCTCAAGTCAATCTTCCAAAACTCCATCTCTTTGATAAAACAAATAGGGCAGATTCCGCGCTTCATATGGATTTCTCCAAAGTAGTACACTTCTACGATGCATTTAAACGAGTCAGGATCTCTGTCGAAGTAGAATTCTCGTTTTCCAAAGAAAAAAAAAACATGTTGATAAACAATGACAGAACACGTAATTGTTTACAGCTGTTCTCAAAGAAAAGCTCGCGTGTAACGTACCGTTGCTGTGGTTACCTCAGGCAACTCGAGTCGCGACTTCTGTTCGCTACAGTCTGTTCGGCGACAAGTGAAAATATGGGCTGTCTTGTCTTAAACTTTCCTGATTACTGCTTGACAACCGTGGTGAAAACACATACATGTAAAAAAAAATTATTTTCACGGGCAATAGTTGCGAAACTCCGAGTTAAACGGTTCATTACATCAGTAACGTTACGTAATTAACGTCACTCACCTGTAGTCACTTGCACAGCCCACGGCAAGAAACTGGATATTTCCATCACGTTCAAGTTGATTCGTAAATCACAGGCCTTTTTCCACAGGAAGAACGTATGAGCTAAATAAAAACACTGAATAGAGGTTTCTGAATTAGCATTAGTCACTCAACATTAGTTCTTCTCAGTGTGTGGGGGAGAGGTGACCACCGGCATCCCTGAGTAATTGCGCCACATTTAGAAATTTCCTTAGAATTGCAATATAGACAGCATAGATGTGTTTTGATAATTTTTTCGTTTCTTTTTCTCTTTTTTTTTTTTTAAACAAGTGACTGACAATTGAACATTTCCACCATTACCTAGGGAACTTATACTGACACTGAATTTTTATTTGTCACAATGGGAACCTGCTATTAAATACTCTATAGCTGCCATTTAACGTCTTTATAAGCAAAATTTAAACTAAAAAAATATGAAGGACGAAACAATGAAAGGAACTGCAAGATTAAAAAGATAATGTACAGTTTCTGCTGGCCAACATATACATATATATATATTCACACACACGAGTAATTCTTTGTCCAGAGAGCAAAATTAGAGGAAAAGGTGCTTTTTAAGTAATTGGACCTTTGACTCAAAATCTAGTTAACCTGTGACAACTTGCCCTAGTCTGCCCAATTCATTGGTAAATACATTAGAAGCACTGATCTATTAAGCATTAACCATCAAGTCACAAAAAAACATAAAATGCTACTTGTTTTCGGCGGCTTCTGTGGTCAGCAATGATTTAGATCTGAGAACTATAAAAGTAAAAAAAGATGAAAGTGGCAACAGTACTGGTTCTAGTTTAGAAAATCAGACATTTTAATATTTCAAAGTCAAATCAATCACCATGGAAACAAACCTTCAGATGGGCTGGTATGTGCAAAATACACCACATTCAAAACCACTGCCGCAAAACCAGACAAACCCTGTATCTCCACAGGTATGGCTTCATTCAGCTTGTTTACAGTGAGATATTTAATCCTTATTCAAAAATTATTTTTTTGTATAATAATACAGCACACAAAAAAAAAATCATCATACTTTCCTGTAATGAGGCTCGAATAATAAAAGGACAAATGTAAGCTGATTTAAATTGGTTGTGCTAAAAATTGGAGACTGAAAAGAATGAAATAAAATCTACAACTAAGTCAAATGGAAAACAGCCAGCCAAACTAGACTCCCCATTTAATCTGGGCATGAAAGAAGCTTTTGACTTTTACACGGTTTTGGCAATGCAGTCAAACCAACTGGCACATGCCTATTACACACACACACACATCAGTGTGCACATGCACACACACATTCACACACTCATTCACACCAGTAGCTGTGCAGTTAATACTCTGGAGTATATAGGAAGAGTTGAAGTGCATCAGTCTGTGGCGTTCATCCACCATACTTTAATTTAAAGGCTCTAAAAGCAGGAGAGCGAAGCCAGATTCACTTCTTCCTCTCACCTGCTTGTTTCTATCACTCTCAGTTCATGTTATTTCACAAGGCCGATTTTCTTGGCCTCCGTTTCGTAGATCAGAAGTCTCCACATTTTCACTATAAACACTTCTGCTTCCTCATCCAGTACCTGTAAGAAACACACCCATGATTATCCTCACAGTAAATGGGTGAATCTCACAAAAACATGACCAGGTCACAATTCATCACAAGATTAAAAGAAAAAAAAAGAAAAAAAGAGAAACTTTTTGTTAAAATGACTGAATAACATTAATGAACTACATGTACTTTGTTATTTTCGGTACTGATTATACCTAGATATTGTACTTACATATTGTAATTAATAACACATAGTAAGTGAAACAGACTGTATAAAAAAATGTTCATATATAAATGATTTTATTGAAATCATTGTAAATGCAGTTTTAAAAAATCACAATGCATAAAATTGAGATTTTTTTGGCATTGTGGTAATGAGAAATGTGCTTAATTATCATGAAAATAAATATTAAACTTTACTTATATAATATATTCTAAATATTCTATTCAATTCTGCTTTATTCTATAATATAATATAATAAGGGTGTAATGTGATACTGACATGACAGGTTTTGTGAGATTCACCCAATAATATTTATTAGGAGTATGTGCAAATAACAAACCACTTTTAAATGTGCTATTTACCATGGCAACATCATCCAGAATTCCCTCTGGCATGCTGTGAGCCATGACCTGCAACAAAGACAAAGCACACATTAATACAGAGAAAGGAAAACAGACAATATTCCCACCAAGACACAGGCACAAACACACCTTTGAACAGACAAAGTCGACTAGTGTGGCTTCCTCTTCTCCAATATATTCTATGATTTTCTTATTGATCCAGGGGCGGATCCTCCTGTCCATCAATGCCTGTGTGGGGGAAAAGAGTCATCAATACATTGCATGCACATGCGTCTACATGATATCTATGCTGAGCAATTACAAGCCACAATATACAAATAAACAGCCATTTAAAGCGGTCACACTAATATCTTGTCTAATAGCTTTTTCCTCTCACCGTGTCCACCATGTTCCAGTCCAGTGGATAATTAAACAGCTCTTGTTTGACTGTGGGAATTTTCTCAATCAGACTCTTGATATGTTTTCGTTTCTCTTCTGTGTTTACACCAGGCCGTGACCCTGTGACCTCTGCTCCATCTAGACTCAGGCCTCCCCTCTCATCCTCACTGTAATCGAGAGGTACCAGCTTCCTCTTTTTTGGTGCTTCCTCTGCCGCCTCCTCATCAAACTTATTAAAGACACTGTCCACCGCAGCAAGAGCTTTTCGTCTTCCTGCCTGGGGCAGTTTAGGACTACCCGCAGCACCTGAGAGACAAAAAGCAGTTTGAAGCCATTTGATGTAAAGGAGAAGAAAAACTTTCTAAAAAATTCTGAATACAGAATATCCTATCGATGTACACTACTATTCAAAAGTCTGGAATCAGTAAGATTTTTTTTTTATTTTGTTTTGTTTTTTAAAGAAGTCTCCTATGCTCACCAAGGCTGTATTTATTTGATCAAAAATACAGTAAAAACAGAAATATTGTGAAGTACTATTACAATTTCATCTGTTTTCTATTTTAAAATGTGATCGTTTTTTTCAGGATTTTTTGATGAAGAGAGTTCAAAAGAACAGCATTTATTTGAAATAGAAACCTTTTGTAACGTTATAAATGTTTTTACTGTCAATTTTGATCAATAATGCATCCTTGGCTCTTAATTTCTTTGAAAAAAAATCTTAAAGACACCAAACCTTTGAACGGTAGTGTAAATAAAAATAGAGATAGATACATACAAATATACATACATAAAAAGATGTCAAATTTAAGGATGAAATTATTATGAATTTTAAAAAAAAGTCTGAATCGAGTTGTTCAGTGGTTCAGGCTGATGTAACAGCTATCGAGGGTTAGACGTTTAAAACAAGAGTTAGGGGTCAAGCTCAATTATAATAATAAAGTAATTCCTATATTCCTATTCCTATATAAGAAATGTCTCACTAAATCTGAATTTGTTGCACGTTAGCTCCAATGCTTTTCCTTACAGAAAGAGCTAAAAATCGTTTTAGTAACACACAGACCTAGTTTGAGACTAAGGCCTATTTTAGGCCTGAGCTCTTCTGTAGGCGGGGCCTCATGTGAAGAGTTCTCATGCGACGTGACGCCACGTGGTGATTCGCTGCCAGGTGTGAGGGGTGTGGCACTGCCACTCGCTGAAGAAATAGAGAGCGCCGTGGGAACTGGTCTGAGTGTGGGCTTCAAGCATGGCTTGACGTCTCGGTCATCATCCTCCTCCTCTTCGTCTTCCTCTCGGTCTGTAATGTTATCTTCTATGGAGTACGCCTCCTGCTCCGCGCCTCCTTTTCTCTGATGCTCCTCACAGGAGATGTGTAGCACCTCCTCGCTCTGCTCTTGCTTTAGAGGAGGCTGCCGCTGCTTCTCGGCCTCCTGCTCTATCTTTAAGACAAAAAAACAAAGTTAGACACAGACACAGATGAATGCAGACATAAAAACGCACACACATACGCACCCTCTGAAGTTCAGCATCAGGGTCTGGGTGTCCTTCTGCTAGGAGTCTCTGTCTGATCTCCTCCAACTCATCTTTCTCTCTTTTTCTGTCCCTCTCATCTAATTCCAGCTCCTTCTCTCTGTCTCTCAATCGCTTCTGCAACGCACTGCCCCTGAGAGAGACAAAAAGAGAGCAAGACAAGAATCATAGACAGGGTGAGATATGTATTTGAACACAAGAACAGAATACTTCAAACTATGGTCACCTACTGTAAAATGTTACATAAAAATATTTCAATAATATTTTGAGACTTTTTGCATAATCTTACAAAACTGCTCAAGTGGAAATGATGCAGAGTAAAAACTGCATTACTGTTATTCAATTACCTTGACATGTAAGCATTTGCATCATTTTCATGGGTTTGTACCTGTAGTATTTGGGATCATCTCTGTCATCATCATAATCCTCCAGGAACTCTTTCAAGCGTTTGGCTTCTTTAGTCTGCAGAAAAAAAAACTTTTATTATTTGCATAATTTTCTCTCATATATTGATGATTTTGTGGCCATTAAGTTTCCTACAGAGTGTGTCATTAGACTAATTTCCTTCCTTGTGCTATGACTCAAAAATATGACAAAAAAGATCAGACAAAAAGATGGCAA